TGCTACTTTTAGAAATATACTATTTCTTTTTAAAAGGGAGGGTCAGGAGGGCTCATTAAAATGGGTTAAAGAAGCCATAGAAAAGCCACCTGTTGGCCAGAAACCCAAAACCATACACAGTTGATAGGTATGGAAACAGAATCAAAATATCTCACTGGAGAGTAAACTGGTCCTGAGTTCCTAACCAAGAGAGCTGCCGTTAAATCTCCATGTTTTCCCTACAAACATGGTGCTGAGCAGCTAAGGCCCTAGGAAACAAGGTTCAGACTGAAGGTCGTCCTACAGCAGGGGCATTGCATAGGTGCTCTGATGACGAACGGCCAAAGTAGAGTTGCCAGATAAAATACAGTGCTCCCTGTGAAAAACTGAATTTTAATGTTACAAGGGATATATTTAGAATCACTATTTACTTGAAATTCAAATGTGACAAGACAGCCTGAGTTTTTAATCTGCTCAATGTGGCAACACGGGGCAAAGAACAATCAAGACAGTACACTTTCCGTTAACAGTATACCTACACGTAGTGAGAGCATCCATGGACGGAATCCTACGCTTCTCGACTTCATTTGATGGTTCTTACTACTTACAAAAATGGCAGCATTTTCCAGGTTGGTAAACAATGTTAGAAACACATAATTGATGGGCAGTGCTGGTGTGAAGGATTATGACAAATATTTAAAGATGCATGTGCTAGAGATGTTACATCAGTTCCTGTCATTTAAGCAACTGAAGAGATCATAAACTGCCTGCATCAGGAGTCTGGCGTTCTAGTCACGCGGTTTGCACATTAACCAGGCGATAACCTATTGACCGCACAATTCCCACAAGAAAGCAAGCATAGGGCGAAGCAGACACAACCCATCTACTTCTTAGAGCTGGCATTGTCTTCTCCAGGAAACATTAACTTTTCACTTGCTATCTCACAAGCAAGGCAAATTGTTGTCTCCTAAACACTGATTGAGAAAAGATGTTTAAAGGGAGGTGGATAGTTCTAACTGCTCTCATAAGGATCTTACATTTGCCGCAGGTCCCACTCAGGTGATAAACATGTCTTTAAATGCAACTCTCTGTGTTTTGTTGTGGATGCCGGGCTTCCCCCATCCCCAAGCGAAAATTATTGCTTTAGAAAGTTGTCTTAGTATGAATACTTGACCAGTATTTCCTTCATAAAAACATTAGCACATTTAGCGCAGGCCCAAGGGCTAAGGTTCAATTAGCAATCTGCCCATTATCAAGGACTCAGGGTTCTGGAGAAAGTCACGCAGAATCGTCAGATAAAATGACCCATTTACTCCAAATCATCCCCAAATGTGTTGCTCTGGGGATCTGACCTTGCAGATCTAGCTGACTTGGGTTTTCTAAATACATACATTTGCAAAAGTCCTTAGTGAGGACTTTATTTTTCTTTAATTATAACTAAACCTTTTTTTCCCCCTGATCACTGTGCTACGTCTGAACTAACCCATCCTTAACCTTTTAAAGTAGGCATTTAGTGGTTCAGCTGAGTGTCTTCCTAATTTGCAACGTGAATTTGCTGGAACAGTCAGCCTTGGCGTGTTAGTGGCAGTCTGTAGTCTGGAGTACAGTGACAACGTCGATATCACCTCTGCATTTGGGGACCTGTGTGTTCAGTGCTGGATATAATCACCTTTATTAAGGTTAAGAGCCGCAAGGGCTAACATTACTGAGCATTTTCTATGTCCCCAGCACTGTGTACTTGTAGGTATGCTCAGTCAATTAACATTTTCTCCAACCTTAGGAGGTGGCCCCTCCCCTAATTTTAAATATAAGATAATGCAGGGTGGTTAAGGTACTTGCCCTGAACTAGGGTAGGTACTATACATCATCAGCATCATCAGGCTGCAGGATCTACTTGCTCCACATAGACACTTTGCCTCAATGAACGCATCAGAGGACGATCCAAAGAGCTTGCAATTTTCAGACCTCTTTATTCAAAGGAAGATGCCATGTCTTTCACTGTGACCACAGATTTCAGGAGGAAGGAATGCAGGGAACTCTCCCTGATTCCTCCAGTACACCTGCCCGGAGAAAGGGGGCGAATTTGCAGTATATTTGTGATATGGCTACGGAACCGACACGCATGAGAACTTGTATAGGCAAAGAGAGGTGGCCAATGCTAGTCATGCAAAGAAGAGAGAGCTGATGGATCCAGAACATGCACGTGTGCGTGCACACGCATGTGCACATGCGCGCACACACACACACACATGCACGCGTGCACACACACAGATCCCTTGCTGGTGAGCAGACTGAAATTCTAGCTCTTTTCACCTTGCTTACCCGAGGACCAATGAGTGCTCCAGGGTGCCTGGGAACAGGGTGAACTGTGCACTGTACTCTTCCAGATCTGGGCTGGGGTACACAGGGCAGACTCAGAGCAAGAGAAGCTGGATTAATGGCTTCTCATCTATATGGACTACTCTTACATAATGAATTTCTCTTGTCTTCTTAAGTATCTAAAAAGGCCATTGGAGGCTTCTATATACCTTATGTAGCTCACTGAGGGGTTTTTGAAATAAATGGGGCCCCCCAGCTCCAAGAGGGCAGCAATGACAATGGAGGCAACAAAACTGGATGCAGAGAAGAGTCTGATTGGGCAGAACCAAAGTCACTCACAGGTCTCTGTCCTCCCTCCATGCACAGTCCTTGAGCCAAACTTTATAGACTTGAGAATATACTGGATGACACACATTTATCAAGAGAATTTGTTGAGCTAGAAATTAAAGCCCTGTTGGACACTGGATCTAGTTCAATCAAGTATCACTTTAAGATTTGTTCAAGTTTTTCTGAAGCTTCTAGCGCTGGAGAGAAAAATAGAACAAGAAAACGAAAAGCTATCCTTTTGTGGGTAGCTTGCCAGGGAAGCGCAGTACAAGCTGCCTGGCTGGTGCCTGCTATTATCCAGAACCTTCTAGAAAAATATATCAATCTGAAAATGCTTTACTTTGGAATGCGGAGACTCTCATGAGGTATTTATGATAATTTTGACATTATTTTCCAGGCTATTTATGGTAGGCAGTTTTATTAACAAACTGTCCATGGAAAGATTCACAAACTACAGAGAAAGCTGCCCTCCGAGTCCTAGCTCTCTGTATGGGGTAGCAACATGAAGACCAAGTAAGGAAAAGAGGCAATATGTCTTCCTAGGCCTCCAGAGCCCATGGCCTGATGGCCCAGATCCCAGTGGAAGAAGCCTGAGGGCATAGAACTGGGGCTGCTCAGCCAGTCTCTGAAACACCAGCCACCTGGCTCTGGGGGAGGGGAGGAGCAATGAACAATATTTTTGTCTCAGCAGAGCACAGTTGAATAGTAAGACTAAAGAAATCAACCAACCAACCAATCAATCAATCATCAATTACCAACCAATCAGTAAACCATCTTATTTGAGCTCCTTATTAAGATTAATCCATCTTTGTTTGTTGTTTGTTTGCTTTTGTTTTTTCCAACCGCCATGTTCAACAATATTAAGCACGCAAATAAATAATAAATAAATGGATAAAGGTGCAAAGTCAATTTAGCAAACAAAATCAGCCCACAGCAGGTTCCTTAAGCTTCTTGAATGGGTTCCCTTTCGGGTCCTCAAATTCTCCTTGGAGGACTAGGGAACTACTTTTGGATGCAATCCAGCTGGGGAGGCTATTCCTCTTTCAGGTTTAAGCGCTCCTCTCCCAAGAGGACTGCCACGGAAGCCGCCCGACCGTTCCAGAAAGATCTGCAGGCAGGTCTCTAGCCCTTGCAGATGAAAGGCTCTCCCAGACGTTAGTATGGAGAGAAAATAGCGTGCTATTGGCTCAAGCTAGAACTTTCCCTTAAAACTACGTTATCCTCTGAGAGCCGCGGGGGGGGGGGGGCCTCCAGTTTATTCTCAAGGAGTTGTGACTTCTTTTGGGCGGGGGCGGGGAGGCACATTTACAGGAACCCAAGCAATTCAAGAAGGAAAACGTTTGAACTAAAGCTTGAACCTTGAATTGGCTTGTATGGGTTTTGGATCAGTTCTTAAACAGACCAGACTGCCCTCTTGGGTTACTCTCCCTCCGTCCACCCCACCCCCACCCCCCGCACCTTGTCCCTTATCCATAGTTCTTTATTGGGCTATACTTTTTTTTTTTTCTCGACAAAAACCTAGGTATCAACCCCGGACGATGGTGCCTGTTTGCTTTGCAGTCCGAGGGCTGACTTGAGTTGTCTACCCAAGGTCGTGGCTGGCTAGTAGTCCCAAGACCATCCCGCGGCTGGGGGAAGGGAGCACGCATAGAGGCAGCATAGAGCCAGAGAGCGACTTTTGGGGGTGGGCGCACAGGCAGAAGGAGGTGTGTAGCTTACTTTTAGCCAAGTTACTAATTTCATTCAGGGAGCACATTTTTGGAAGGCTGCTTGGCCACAGTAGACCTGCAGTTCTCCAGCAGTGATCGCAAGCTTGACCCCAGCCTGGGCCTCAGCCCCTGAGACAGTGCCGCATCATCCCTAAGCCTAAGTAAAAAGCGACGCGAGAGTTCCAGGGACCTCTAAGTCCTAGAGCGCTAACCAGGCCAGTTGAGCGCACAGGATGCTGAAGCCCTCTTCGTAGCGGCTTTATCCGACCCCTGCTCTGGCTCTGTACTCCATGGCAGGACAAGGCACGGAAAGAAGTGATGTTTGGGACTGTGGCAGGTGCGCTCTGAGACCCCAGCAAAGAGGAGAAGCCGCCGCAGAGAGCAGTCGTCTCCTTGCGGGGTTCGGGATTCTAACGCACCAGTTAGCCGGCCACCTGTTTCACAAAGATTGAATTTGTGGGGGGACACAGGCTGCCGCAGCAAGGACCCAATCTTTTCTCCCCTCCAGGCCCGCCAAAACCGTACATCTCAAACCTATGTGCGCATACCTGCAGACCCACCACCCTCCAGTGGCGACTTACTTCCCGGTGTCGCTCCCCCCAACCCCACCCCCGCTTTGGTGCCGGCCTCCCCGCGCCTGGCTCTTCCGCGGAGTGAGCCAAGTACCTGCGGTGAAGATGCAGAGAGCGATGAGCCCCTTGCAAACCATGTTACTCCGGCACTCGGTACCGAGCTGGACGCTGCTAGGGAAGAGTTTCCCGGGGCTGGCCAAGTGCGTCCGGGCACGGGCAGCTCCTCTAACCGCCCAGTGGGCTGCGGGAGAAGAGGGTAGTGCTGACCGCCCGGCGCGATCAGTCCAGGCAGCTACTGTGGCAGCTTTGGTGTCTGGCGGTGCTAGGCGTAAAGGAGGTGGCGCACGGAGTCAGCTGTGTGCCCTGCGGCGCCAGGCGCACTTCTGCTCCATCCCAGCTGCCCGAGCACAGAGCCCGCCTGCAACATCGCCAAACCCCTCCCACCCGGCCCTCCTGCGAGGATGGGGCCACCCACTGGCCTTCCCCCTCCCTGCGCACTGGTCCCAGGAGTCCCGGCCCAGGGCGGCCTCTGCTGGACAGTGGGCGCAAGCCCGAGCTTTCAGTGGATTCAGCAGCAGCTCAGGGAGCCTTGCACTGACTGTTCTAGAAGCCAAGGCAAAGCAAAGTGCTAATGGGTCCTTGCCCTCAGGAATCCAACTCAGTTTTCCCTTATGAAAACACATTACCTTTAGAGAGGTGATCAAAAAGTTATTTCAGAGAATCAATACACTTCTTCCCAAGTATGGTATGAAAACCTTCCCCTTCATTTCTCTGTGTCCATTAAACCCTCACCAGCCCTGAACTCCCGCTGCACTTCCTGGTGTCTGGGCTACCTTACTCAGCTTCAAGCCAGAAGAAATGCCACTATCTGGTGACATGATCGCCAGACAACTGAACCACGTGTCTGACTAGTTACCGCCCTGAAATTTCTTCTAGTAACCCAGAGGCATAAAATTATTATTTCACAGGTAAGAAATTGTAGGCATGAGAAATTAAGGAACATGCTATGTTTATATAGCTTGTAAGGATGGTTTGTACAGCAGGCCCATAATCACAATATAATAATATACTTTTAAATAATAATAATAACAATGGTTGGCATTTCCTGAGAAATGACGATGGGCTAGGCAATGGACAATGTGCATTCACATACAACCCGAGTTAAGTCACTTACTCTCCATGACAATCATCCCAGGTGGGTACATTGCATCCTTGATTGTTTTGGGTAGGAAATAAGTTTAAGTGTTTGCCCAGGCCTCAGTTAGTAAAGGGTAACCAGATGCCTCCCCGGGCTCAGTCTCTGTACTCGAATGCCTCTGCAAAGATCAGGGCTTCTCCAAAGAGGGCTCAAAACTGACCTTTCACCTAATTCTCCTGTTAGGATTCAGGCATTATGCTGACCTGCCCTGTCTCCTGCAGGATGTACCCAGGCAGTACTCTAGCCAGCCCAGGGTCCTAGTTTGGATGCAGGTGCAAAGGTCCCTTTAAGAGACAAGCTCCACCCACTCCTGGTTGCTCTTTCCCACTGTTCCTCCTTAGGAGCAGGCCTCTCTCTCTCTCTCTCTCTCTCTCTCTCTCTCTCTCTCTCTCTCTC